CCCCCCCCCCAAGCCTTTACTGGGCATGCCCCTGCAGGTTGGCTTTTCTGCTCGGTTCCTGGGGGCAGAAGGAGCAGCACGACCTCGGCCACCTCTTTGTCTAGCAGGGGCTCTAAATGCCTCCGGCTGATAGGTGCAACTTCTCTAGCCTCGATTTCTGAGGGCGTAAGAGCTTTCCCCCCCTTCCTCCCCATTGTACTCTGTACAGAAGGTGAAATGTTTTTATATTACTTTGTCTCTTAGGTATGGACTTGATTAGAGGTTTCTTGACTGCTTAAAAGGTAGGTAAAGAGCTTGTGTCTTTAGTTGTGTTATGTTTTAGAAGTGTTATGGAGGTCAGGTGCAAGACTGGTGTGAAAAATAAGACTTCTGTGTTAATATCTATTGTGTTGGCCACAGGGGAGGGAAGCTGTTGTTGCAGGACTCAATTGATGCAGGTCTCCTTTCCTTGAGGCTGCGAGAGGCAGGAAGGTCTCAATCTTGCTTCTGGCCAAACTTGCAGTGATGCCCACATAACCAGATCTGTTATGAGGTCTGTCAGGAGCTATGTCCTTTATTGAGACAGACTAAAAAAAGCAAAGCTAGTCTCAGTGCTAACAGCAACACTTTGTAGTGTGACAATTTAAACTTTATCTGTGTGCCTAGCAGACTGCCTGCTGTGGCCAAGAGGGGAATATTGCATTGCCTCGATGAGACTCCTGTTTCTGGAATGGGTGTTTCTAAGTGTAACCTCTAGCCTGGACCAGAGCTCCCAGTCTGGAAGTCTGCAAAAACCAGAATGCGTCTGAGTGGACTGGAGAGGCCATGGGAGAAGCAGGCTTACGGCTTGGAGACATGGTCCCTTGCCAGCAATCTCAGACAAGGCCAGACGCTGGGAAAACTGCAGTAAAGGATGGGAACCCAGAAAAATGCCAACTTTAAAATGTGCTAAAGAACACTTCTGGTACTTTACTGCCAGAAAGCAGGAAGAGTACAAGGGGGACAAAAGTTCCTGTGAGAGCTCAGCTTAGACTTGGAGACCTTATAGTGGAGCTATCCTTGGCTAAGGGCTGTCTGCAGAATCTGGCTATTTTGTTAAGGTCTGTGACTCTCTTGTACTGCTCAAGAGTAAGATAAGCACATTTAAAAAAACTCTTTTGCAAAGCTTTCCTCTTATATTGCTGTTGTCATGCAGTTCCTGCATAGTTAAATTACAGCTGGCCAAACTCGGCAGTCACAGGGACTGGTACTCCCATCTGAGGGCCTTCCTTTACTACCATCCTCAGGAAATTACGGTTGTAGGCTCTCTCCTGCCTCACCCCCACCTTTGACGTTGCTGACCTCCTGCTGCAGAGGGTGCTGCTAGCTGCATGCAGCCCATGAAGGAGGAAGCTTTGAGCTATTCAGGTTGCAGTCACTGCTTAAACAACCTTGCCTGCCTCTTTCAGGGGGAAGAAGTGTCAGATGATATTTTACAGGGTGGATCTGGCTTGGAGGATACTTGCTGAACTGCAGTGGACTACAATGTCTCCCAAATAAGCAGGTACAGCCATTAAACTGGCCAAGAAAAGGTTTTTTAACAAGTATAACTAGTGGTTTGTAAAACAGTAATGTTTGCTAAGGCTTTAGATCATTGGATGCCAACATGTTAGGTCAATTGACCCAAGATTTCTTGCAGGCCATCATTTGTTTCTCATAAAAGTTGTAACTGAAACCATGGTTAAAGATGGTGCTGCAGATACTTCCTGTGGTTCTGTGAACCACAGGCTGTTGAGCACAGTTTTGGAATGACAACTCTAAATAGGGCAAACAAACTCCCTTGAAAAGACTATAACAACATGAGCATCCTCAGCTGCTTCTGCAGAATCTGCCATGGCCTGGCCTCCCCCGTCTTCCCCTAACCACACATTTCTGTATGGCCCTTTGATAGCACATCTGGGGACAGCAAGCTTGCCCATTCCTTCCCCTACCACCAGCTCCTATCCACAGCTGCTTCTGTGCTCCCCTTCCTCTAGGGTGGAAGTGACTGTCTCTTTCTGTAGGCCAAACTCACTGGTGGTACTAACAAGTAGTTGCTCATTTCAATGTACAGTGCAGGGGGTGTTTAATAACCAATGCTCTCCAAAGCTATAATTACATTTTAGTCATAGGAGGGTGATGCTGCTGCTCACTGTGTGGGACAAGCATGCAAGCTTCCAGCTGAGGCTACCTTAAGTCTATTAGCTGAAGAATTAAATCTCTTTGGGGTCATTTGTCCCAGCTATTCCTAGAAAGCTTGGAGCCAGAGAGTGAAGACTCACTCTCTGATGGGATTTTGCTATGCCATGTTTACACTAACAGATCCTGAGCTGCCTGAAGCAGCTGTAAAAGTCAGGTAGAGAGGTTAGTCCTGGAACTGAATCCTGTTGGTGACTGAGAGTCATGAAATTAATTCAAGAACTAATAGGAAAAAGGATATACAGGCCCTACAAGCTGATGTGGATCGAAGAATAATTACAGAGAACAATTTTGAGATAGCTGATACAGGAAGAAAGGCTAGGAGTTTGCAATAAGAGCCCAGTCAATGGGGAGCCTCTCAAATGGTGTCACACTGGGGTCTGAAAGTGTGTTTGTGTGCAGGGCTTCTCGCACAGAGGTTCCCCCGGCAAGGATTTCAGGCTCCAAGCCATAATGATGGATACCCGATTTCACTAGAGAAGCTGGGGTATGGTTAGTGCAGTGCTACAGTAAAACTTGGGTTTGTACCATGGTCTAGAGTGTAGCTAATTTAGTTACTTTGATCATTTAAGTGACAGCTATTTGGCCAGTCAGCATAACTTTATAGAAAATACTGTGTTTTAACATTTTCAATGTGCTGCATACAGCTTGGAAATATCTAATTGTGACAGAAGAATACGGCTCCTAAGCCTACAGACACTGACATAATTCCCCTTGCATCTAAAACGTATGCTGGTGTGCTGCTGACTGCCGTAATGTCGGTAGGAGGAGAATTTGGCTCCAGCCTGCATGTGTAGCATCCGTGTTTCAGCAGCTGTGGGAACCCATTTCCACCAGCAGGGATGTAAGCGAAGTGCTGTGCTGTTCCTGGCTCAGACAAAAGGCAAGCGGCGTTCGTCAAAGGCCAAGGCAGCGCTGGTAATTTTAATAAGGCCTGTTCTCTTGGCTGTTCCCCAGTACTTTTCCCCCCGAGTTGCTCTCTCCTCCACTGGCAGCCTTTCCAGCTCTCCCGTTCCCCTTTGGGGGCAGGCAGCCACAGGGCTGTACTGCCCAGGGAGGAAAGCTCTCCCTGACGGAGGATGACCTTGGGAATGTGATTTGCAGGTGCTTGGCAAAATGAGAAGACCTATAAATCTCCTGGTTTGACTGGTGCAGGAGCTGGAGAGCAATAAGCCTACAGATGGTCTCAGATGTGTTCTGGAACAGAGGGAGTGCGGGAGAAAAATCTTGACAAAAGCACAATTTCCATTATCAAAATTGCTATATCTCCTCCCCTAAAATACCTGTGAAATACCTCTAGAGAAGTAACCTGGAACTAGGAGTGGTTTCTGTTTGGGATGAAGAAAACAAATGTTAACTATGTCTGCTCAAAGTGCATGCTAGCTATTTAATACTGTGCCTCCTGGGAGCCAGTGGAACTGCACAAGGGTCTGTACAGCTGCGGTGAGACACTCTTGACCCCAAATGTGTATGCTCAGGGCAGACAGGCTCAGGAAGAGGTATTGCACACTGGGGACTGTGGGATAGGGATGGCGTGGCTGCGCCTGGGTAGTTGGTGGTTCTGCCAT